AAACGGATTTGTTGAAGCTCCCACCAGATTTCCCCCCTACGCTTAACATCTACTTTCAGCTTATTAGGTAAAAGAGAGAATTTGAAAAAAATTAAGGTAACATTATTTTGCTTATATTACTTATATGCAAAAGAGGATTCCGTAAAAGAGAACCTACCAAAGTATGAAACCAGACATGTTCAACATCTACTGATCATTCTTGTGCAGCCCACGCCACGGTAGCTTTTATTTATATCATGCAAGTTACAAAAAAACAGATGGACACCAGTGTCAGCAGTCTACGATATAATACGGACTAGCAAGAAAATTTCTCAACACAAGATAGATTCATCTTCATATTACGTAGTATATCACATATGGACCCAAACATAGGGAGCACAGAAAATAGAAGCAAAATATTTGGGACTTCAGGAAGCTGATTTTCGTCCAAAAATAAAGTTTTACATCACTATACCAGGCAGGAAATATCAATCTGCAGACCACCCCCCATATGGTACAAAACAAATCCCATTAACTTTCACACAGACTGCCGCTAGTATAACTTTAGTTCTAACTTCTAACGTCCTTCAATATGACACCCTTTTGCATTTTAACTTGCAAGTAGTACTAGGAGAAGGGTTGTTTTTCTTCAACACCTTGAAGATCATAGACTTAAAAGGGAGTGTTTGTGATTGCTTCTAGTTCAAAAAAGTGATTTTGGAGAAAGTACTTAATAGTAGAAGTTGATAGTGTTTGAAAAAAAAAGTGATTCTGAAAAAGTAAAGTTGATGTGTTTGGTAAAATAAGTGCTTTTTGTGTAATAGAAAAAGTGAAAAGCAGTTTAAAACACCCTTCCACCTGCTTCCAGCTTTTAGCTTTTAAGTGCTAAATTTAAACAGAAGCTGTCATTTGAAAACACTCTTTTCAGCTTTTTTTTAAGCCAAAAGCTGAAAAGCAAATTCATCAAGTTTTAGCGAACACTCCCTAACATCATTCCCAACCTTGGTAGCTTCAGATGTACCATCATCTCCTGCTTCAGGGCACGAGATACCAATGGTCTGTGGAGTTTCCAAGGGTTCACTTTGAGACAATTTCCCCTGATATTTTTCATCAGGTTCCATGGATGAAAAGTCATGCATTTCAGAACTGTAATTTTCACTTTCAGATCATTATTATATCATGCTAGAATCCTTCTTCTTAGGGACAGTCAGAGGGAGCTCATTGGATGATCCGCTGTTTTCATTTGTAACATTAACATCAGGATCCCTGTTTCTTGAGTCATGAAGGTCTGGACTACTCTCATGCCCGCTTAAAGGCAGCTTGTCTTCTGGAAGAACCCCGTCCTTTAGGTAGTTGGTCATGTCAGTGACCCAACTAGGAACGACATATGAGATGGCCTCCACGGACTTGATCATAGAGACCTCCACCACATGAAGGTCTGGACTACTCTCATGCCTGCTTAAAGGCAGCTCATTGACTGGTTCTGTTTCTTGACTTATGGCAGTGTGTTGGTGTGACTTAATAAATGCTGGGTTGTCATTAGAGGTCTCATCATTGTGGTGGTTTCCCAGAAACAAAGCACCAACTTTACCAAAAAAAATGGCCTCACTAGCTTTCTGCGTTTCATAGGCTTACATGATGGTTCCTTAACTATTTCATTTACAAAAGGATTCTCTCCTTGGACATCAAATCTCATTTAGTTGTCTACGATTTGGAGCAATAAATAGCAGTTCTTTAACCACAGAGCTATATACTATTTCAATTCAAGAAGGCATCTTCTCCTTGGACATAAAACCTCTTTTGAGTTGTCTATGCTTAGGAGCTATAACAAGTTCTTTAGCCGCAAAACATTCTCTATCATGAGACCTTTTCATTAAATCACTCTGACGCCCAAAAACCACCACCCGCGTCTCTTTTGGTGCATGAGGAATAACATTTTGTTAGGAGGTTTCATGTACATCCCTTTTCAGTTCATTGCCATGCTTTCCATGGGTAGTAACTTCACTACTTCACTGTTGTCAGGACATTTTATTAGGAGGTTTCATGTACACCCCTTAACTATTTCATTTTCAGAAGGTATCTTTTCCTTGGACATCAAATCTCTTTTCAGTTGTCTATGATTCGGAGCTATAAATGGCATTTCTTTAACCATGGAGCTAGCTGCTATTTCAATTTCAGAAGGCATCTTCTCCTTGGACATCAAACCTCTTTTGAGTTGTCTATGCTTAGGAGCTATAGCAAGTTTTTCAGCCGCAGAACTGTCTCTATCATGAGACTTTGATTAAATCACTCCGACACCCAAAATCCACCACTCGCGTCTCTTTTGGTGCACGAGAAATAACATTTTGTTCAGTGGCTTGATGCACATTCCTTTTCAGCTCATTGTCATGCTTTCCACGGGTAGTTACTTCACTGTCGTCAGGACATTTGCCCAACGGTTTGAATTTCATTTGCCTCTTCACCAGAAGAACCTGACTTTGTAGCTACCCATGACATCATCAACAGAAATGTCTAGGAGTGGGAGTGAGTGGAGGACATCATCAACAGGAGTGTCCAGGAGATCATCATGACTAGTGTCATATCCAGTTTTCTTCAGTGAACACTTTTTAGAAGATAACCGAGAGAAAACGCTTTTTCGGCTGAATTGTCTGTACCCAGAATCTGACATCTCAGATGATATATTGTGATAAATCCCACCGTTCACTATATTTGTTTCATATAGATCACATTTATTCTTCCGATTCATTCTATCACTCTCTTGCACTGTCATAAACACTCTCTGATACCAGTTGACAATGAAGTGCGTTCAGTAGCATATAAAGGATAACTTCTTGAATCAACAAGAGCATTTGGACTATATTCTCTTCTGTTACAACCTACTGGATGCCTAGGATCGCCATACAATCCATCATTGCCTTGTGATGTGCTTCCAAAAGTAGCAGATGGGATATCAGAAATGGCAGCATAGTTCTTAAGATGCTAACTTTCCGTGCTATCATGAATCAATCTAGGCTGACTGCAGGCATTTTTTACGATCTTTCCAACTTCCAAGGTCACTTTTACGGTCGCATGAATAAGGATTATCATTATTATGAAGCTCTTCAAAACCATTGTTGTGAAGAGAATTCCGCCATGTGCTGCAAATCTGGTTATCCCTGACCCCATGTTTATGTTGGAGAAATTTACTATCCTTTCTCTCCCTAACCATAGCACCATCATTTTTTCTACTAACATGAATAAGATCAACAAGATCATTAGAATGCATACGAGATGGAAGATAATTACAATTGTCAAATGTATCATCCATCGTGAACTGCCTACCCTCAGTTAACCTTACATCCTTCATAAGAGGGCGATCATTTTGAATATTATGTGGAACATCATTAAAAATATCCTTTAATCATCTTCTCTTTTGCTACTAGGTGAATCAGTATACACATTATCCAGGTATTTCCCATCTGAAAAACAAACCTCATATTCATTGTTCATCATATCTACCCCGGGATGTGTATCAATATTCCTCACATTATCTCTATCCCAAAAGTTCCTTCGATATGCTATCACTGGAGAAGACTCAAAGTCATCCTCATTGAGAAGACCACTATTGTTACTCAGTGCAGGGTTCTCATCATCAACAACATGACCATTTTCCCAAGCTCATTTTCTGTTTACTCTAGTCAACTGTCTAGGGGGTAGCATCGTTCTTAACTTCCTTGTGCTGAACAGCAAGAGATAACTCTGAACCTGCATAAGTAGTGACAGTTATATTTTTAAAAACTAGGAAACACCATCCAAATTACAGTCCATATAAAGATAGCCCAGACCTAATCTCGAGATAGCCCAAAGTTAAACTTCTTTTGAGAATACTAATTAGCACTAATTGCTTCTCGAAATTCAGGTTCAGAACGTGGACTGCACTTCAAATTGGTGTGAAAGAAACCTGGGTAGCAGAACACAACATACAGACACACCACACGTCTACACATATGAAATATCCTAGATATATTATTAATTATTAATTGACAAAAAGGCTAAATTTCCGGCTTGTTATGAGATTTGTGTGACTTATGGATAATTATCTATTTATAACACATTCATGTGCAAACTACTTGTGCAGGATAGTCGACCCCTGCTGATGAATTAAATGCGTGAGGCAAACAATTATTCTCTTCTGCTTCGAAGTCCATTTAGAATTGCTAGAACCTGCCACGATTATAAGATACTCACAATAGTAGAATAGTAGGACAGAATTTTCATGCACACATTTAAGATACTCATAATAGTCGGATAGAATTTTCATGCACGCAAATGGAAGCATCAACTACATCAATTTTTATAAAACTTCCCAAGGAAAACAAAAAAAAATCAAATACCAAGGGACTAGTAGAGTACTTTATGTACCAGCCATGTAGTGATGTAGTTGAGAATAAAGGGACATGTACATGTATCATAGGAGGGGTTATAACGGAAAACTAATTCAGCATCAATCTTAATGTATAAAATTAGACAGCCCAAGTTGAAGGGACAAATTCAAGTTGAGTTGTACAAAATAGAACGTAGACCAACATATTAGAACTAACTGAAGTTGCTTTCAGAGAATAAATGGAAGTGCTGCAGAACAATGCTTGGTAACTGAAACCATTATTATTTATCTTTCTTTAGCACGCATTACATCAATAATACTTCAAATTACGGAGCAATGACACTCAACAATAAAAACACATGTCAAAAGCAAATCAAAATAATTTTATAAATGAATACTGGAATAGAAATCGGGGAATTTCACAACAGTATCTAATTTTCAGAATAATACGAAACAGGTGTACATAGAATCAGCAATTTGAAAAGAAGCATTCTTATAGATAAGCCCATAAAGTCTGCACCTCTGAATCGTAGCCGCGCTTATGCCGTTTTGTAATAGATCACTGAAACATGAATACTGATAACAAATCGTTTAGCACTGAAAATATGATTAGTTTGGTTCTATAAAAAATAAAATCTAATTACCAATACATCAAAACTGATAACAAATCGCTTAGCACTAAAAAATCATACATATTAGTACATAATTGAACATAAAATACAATACAATTCTAGCAATGCATTGCGTTATGAAATGTCACAATGTTGCTACGAAGAAATACCACGAAAGTTCACTAACTTTTGTAAATATGAAACTATTTTCCATCACAAAATATCTTAAAAAGAAAAAATGGAAACACAAGGCTTCTGGAACGCTAATTATTTAGGAAAACAGGTTTTCCAATTCTTCTTAATTACAGAAGCGGCCCCGAAAGGGGAGTTTGGGGTTTCCAAGTTTCTGAAATGGGGAAATGTGAGCTGCAGAGAGTTTTCGTGCTTTATAATCACCAACTCTTTCAATATGTAAGTGATTGTGTTCTTTTAAACTCCTCCCTTCAGCTCTCAAGATTTCACTTCCCCCTTCATAGCAAACTCAATATCACTTCTCTTTCAAAACATCACCTTTCATTCTCAATAGTTCTGAATCGGATTGCAAGGTTTTCATGCTCGAATTAGTGTCTTCTACAGCTTTTACCTTGTTATGGGTACCCAGGACGTCATTTTCTGCTAATCTGGAGTTATCTGAACCTGAGACCGGTGGAGTCTTTTCAACCAAGAATGGGACGTTTTTAAACTCATTCATCAATCCTTTGATCACAAGCCTATCCCCTCTAGTCAATCCAGTCAATCCGGACCCATCAGGGTCCTGCAACATCGGATTATTATTCGGGTTCAAGCTTTCCAAGTTTGACCTGAACATGCGATCCCTCCTCAAGAAGTCGCTTTTCTTATCAAACCAGTCTCCCCAACCTTCCCTCAATGGCGACCCCTTCAATAAAAGTGCATCCTCAATGTTCCTTACTTCGCTCAACTTCTTCCGCATCTTCTCATCTACTGGCAAATCATCCGATGCAATGGCGTGCTTAGATTCATCAACCTCATACCCAAACCCTAATTTGAAGCTCGATTCAAAGTTCACGTAATCTTCCCATTCTTCAATTGACCGCTTGTTTAAGGCCCTCCTAATCACGCCGAGTTGATGGTCATAGAAGTAGGTCCTGGACGAGACCTTCGACTTTTGATTAATTTCATCTCCATCTTCCTCATCCGTCGCTAGATTTTCCTCGTCGTTCACGTTGAGCTGAACTGCGTCATCAAGCTCGTCGATGCGGTCATCAGAGGGGGAGGAGCGGAAATCAGAGTCAGCTAGGTCGTCGGTAAGCGGGTTATTTAGTGAAACGGCGTCGTAGAGGCTGGGGTATGAATGCAGTTGGTTGGAGTGGAAGAAATTGAGGCGGGTGTAGAGAAGGGAGACGGAGAGAAGAAGGAGAATCGCAGCCGCTACGGCACAGAGTTGAGCTCCATATCGTGGACGCCGCCGCGACGGCAGGTTGCGGAGCATGTTTTGGCGGCGGCGGGGTACTTATGAGTAGAAACTGTGTCGGAAGTTTGAAGGCGGTGATGGGGAGGATTATTTTTAGCTCTTTTTAATAAGGAGTCACTAAATTCTAACCTGCTACTTGCTGGGCGCACCATCGTACGGAGTAAATTAATTACTAGGCCAATTCATTGCTTCTTTAAAATAAAAATAGGTTTTAATGTTTCCAAAATTTTGTGTAACATGTTTAGAAGTATATTTAAATTCTCTAGTACAATCAGGATTACATTTTCTAACTATCGTCAAACAACTACGGAGTATTATATAAATATTTGAAACCCATTATTAATGTTTCTATAACTTTTTTACAATCTTCTTATACAATAGAGGATGAATCTAAAAATTATCTAAAAAATAGTACTCTTAATTTTCACACTTATGAGGTATTCATCTGCCCCACTATATGTATCTCAGTTCTTCTTTGTGATGTGCTTTATTAAGTTTGTTATATACAATATTCGTTAATATTTATGGTCATATATATACTTTTTTATTCATCTTTATAATCATATAACTACGATATGACGGCATCTAGGATGTTTTTAATTGAGATGTTTTTATCTGAATTTAAACCAAATCAAATTTCGATAGTTGTATAAAACGGATAGAAAAAAACACCCGCACATAAAACATACGGGGTACATCTAATAGGGTAGACCAGTTTAGATTAGACCAGACCAAACATAAATAGAACAAATAAGATAAAATTATACCAGATTAGACTAGACCAGTAAATTTTAATTCAACTAAAAACATTTTTATTTGTATTATAGTAATAAATTAATGTCACCCAATAATTAATTTTTGTCAAACTAATAAGTACACTTCAAATAGCAATTGTCTTTTTATAAATTAACGGCTCCTATATAAAATTAGAATGTTAGTTTAATTTATTTTTTATTTATCCAAAATTTTAAATATGAATAAGCATAATTAATTTTTTGATAATGTTTAAACTTGTGTAGTGTAACAGATATTTTCAGTTCAACTCGTTTCAGACTCATATTATCCTATACTATATCGAATTTAGATATTAGTAACACATGTACGAAACTAGATCAGATGAGACCAGAATTAAACAATTCTGAATGTTTAGATTTTTTGAGGTTATTTAAAAAAAATTGTGCTTTGAAACTCGAGAGATTATATTTTGATTATTATTTTTATAATTTTCTAGTGTACTTATGACTAATTAAAACGATTATAAACTTAAGGCACATGTGTTGCAAATAAATATGTTTCTGTTTGTACATTTAACTAGTTACGAAGTATTAAATATGTGTAATATTTTGCATTTTTAAGTGAATCTAATAAATTATTAATTTAAGAACTTGGTAAGCATATTTTGAGCAACTTTGAAAAATAAGTCAGGTATAAAAAGTCTAAATATAAATGTATTTTTCTTGTAATACACATATCTAATATTGTCTCTTTATAAAAATATGATATATGCAGGATGATAGTGACGCGTACGTCGGTCTTATTTTTCATGATGATAGCTCGACTTTTGTCGAAGAAGAAGTAAAGTTTGAACCTCCAATTGTTGAAGAAGCACAAGCATTCACTTCACATGATTTTTCAGAAGACTTTCAAACTCATAAAATTTGGGTGGATCGGGAGTCTATGATTGATTGGGCTAGAGTTGAGGCCCATAAGAGAAACATGGTCTTAACTATTGCAAAATTGAGGCCAAGTAATTCTAAAAAGCTTGGTAATGTCCTTCTCGCATGTGAAAAATTCGGGAAGTATCGAGCTGCAAAAAAGTCAATGCTCCAGGGGTGCAACAAAATTCGCGATAATCGTCCACTACATCCATCCATGGTACATGAATTTTGGAGAAGAGTTGAATGGTATGTAAATAAGGAACAAGACAATGACGAGACCGATGATATAAGTGTTGATGATGTGGTCCTAAAAACCATAGTTGATGAGTTTCAATCAGGTCGTATGTTAGCACAAGAAAAAAAGACTTCATGCAAAATGGAATGAGATGAGAAATCCAAAACTTAATACTATGAAAGAGCTAGTGATTCATGAAACGAAGGGAAGGCCCAAAAAAATCAACCACTCGAGACCCAAGTGTGTGGGAGTACAATGGGAAAAAAATACAAAAAATCCAAGGGTGCCATATCACATCATGGGTCTCGTGGACGTGGCAAGGATAGTAAAGGGAATCAAAATCGAATGCAATTTAATTTCGGTAATGATGTTGAGACATTCATGCTTGAGCATATTAGTAAAGTTGTTGACGTTATTGGAGATGGACATTGCGGATATCGCTCATTTGCAGAGCTTTTGGGATGGGGAGAAAACGAATGGGTTACAGTTCGAAGGGAGTTAGTGGAAGAACTAGATCGTCATCGTGGGCTGTATGATCCTACATGCCTTATTGACACTATTGATGACTTGCGGGAGCAAATAGACTACTACATCAGTCGTGCACCACCCCGGCATTGGATACACAGCCTTCAGTCCTAGGTGCCGATCGGCTGAAGGTTTGATCGGACAGCCAGCAGGTGGTCAGCCAGGTGAACGGAGCCGCAGAGACCAAGGAAGAGAGAATGATTATTTCACCAAATGGGTGGAGGCCGAACCCTTGGCTAGCATCACAGATTTCCAATGCTAAAGGTTCGTTAGGAATAAAATCATTTGCCAGTTCGGCCTCCCCAAGCAGGTTATCACGAACAACGGGAGACAGTTTGTAAGCAGGAATTTCGAGGATTTCTTGGTCAAGTGGGGGATCAAGCACTCAAGAGCATCCGTTGCATATCCTCAGGCGAACAGCCAAGTGGAGAATATGAACAGAACCATCATGGATGGCATGAAGAAAAAGCTAGAAGATTACTCCTCATCATGGCCCGACCAGCTAAACTACATTCTGTGGACTTACAGAACTACACCCCGAACAGCCACAGGGGAAACACCGTTCGCCCTCACTTATGGTTTCCAATCCAAGGTTCCAACAGAAGTCCTGGTCCCGATACACCGAACGGTCCATTTCAACCCAAAGCATAATGAAGATCATCTACACACTGAAATGCATTTCATTGAGGAAAGAAGGGATTTAGCGGCAAGACGGATGGAAGAATATCACAGGGCGACTCAGAGGTATTTTGAAAAACATGTCAAGATTCGATCAATCCTAGTAGGAGACTTGGTCCTAAGGAAAAGGGAAAACAACAAACCTCTCGAAAGAGGAAAAATGGCCAAAATTGGGAAGGCCCTTAACAGGTTTTCAAGATATACGTCTCAGGAACGTTCGGCTTGAACACCACCGAAGGCCGATCGGCAAGAACATGGTATGTTGAACACTTACGAAAGTTTTACCAATAAAAATAGCTGTTTCCACCTCTTAAAAAACAAAAAACAAAAAAAAAAGAGGGAGACATAACTTCCAAAAAGCCTCACCTCGACCATAAGCATTGAGAACCATTCCGGAAGACCGAATGGGGATCATTGCTATGGTCTGGAGGGAGCCGTCATCTCAACTAAGTTTTGACCTTGCGCTCTGGACGAACAGGCGAAGGATTCAAGATAGTTTGGAGGTGATGTTAAAACCATAATAATGAACAATCTGAGCGACATTCGGTAACACGGATGAGTCGAACAGGGGATCGGAACTATGGTTTTTCAATCTCACCTCAGTCATTGCTATGGTCTGGAGGGAGCCGTCATCTCAACTAAGTTTTGACCTTGCGCTCTGGACGAACAGGCGAAGGATTCAAGATAGTTTGGAGATGATGTTAAAACCATAAGTATGGATAATCCGAGCAACATTCGGTAACACGGATGAGTCGAACGGGGGATTAGAACTATGGCTTTTAAATCTCACCTCAGTCATTAGCTTCAACGAACCACGGCGACATGGGATCGAAGGGTGGAATCCAAGCTATGATTTGGAGGTGAGTCACCATTTTAACTATAGGCAGGAGATGACCCGAACAGGGGATCTTACTTATAGTTTGAAAATGGACATCTCAAACCCTTAGTATGGATAATCCAGATCGGACAAAACCAAACGGGGCATCGGAACTATGGGTTTGGAAGATGACAGGTATTAACCAATCTGTATTACACAAACAAAGGTACATGGATCGGGAAAGTATAAGACAAGAAAATGAAGGCTTGTACAAACAAGAGAGTTTTATTCTTCAGAACTACTGTCCGAGGAATACAAGAGAATAAAAGAATCATAAGTACATGGAAGGGATAAGCTAGATCTGCCTTGGAAGAATCTGGTTGTTCGGAGCTAGGCTCACCGTCATCTTCTACCTTCTTTAGACACTCAGCATGCTCCTCCATCACCCGGTCAAAAGCGTTGATGAAACACTTGGAGAAACCATGAACCTCAGGATCGAACACTCAGGGAAGTGCTTCATGATCAGGTCAATGTTCTGGTCAACAATGATATCCATGCTCTGAACAAGGGTATCACTAGCAAGATCCTCCACAAAGGCCTTTCCCTCGGGAGTTTATCAAGAAGCCAAATCCCGACCTTGAGGGGATCAACGCTAGCATGAAGATACTGACCAAGATGTGGTGCGAGAAACTCCCGAGCAGTGTTCTCCAGCGCGATGTTCAGGCCCTTACCTCTTGGAAGTCAATGACCGTCTGCTGCGTGATTTTGGAAGTATCAACAGAAATGGAAGCAGGGGCATTATTCTCCTTGGTCGTTCGGACTTTAACTACATCCTCTTCCATGGCCTTGAGCTTGGCCTTGAGAAAGGCGATCTCCCGATCACGAGGTTGGACCCTCTGTTCTCTCTCAGCCAGATCTGCGGCGGTCGTGTTTCCCTTTGTGGCCTGATCCTGTAGATCAGTGGCCATCTTACGTGCAGCTTCAAGAAGGGTCTAGGTTTCCTCCCGGTCCCGGGCCATTTGAGCCATGTCTCGATCGGCAGCAAGGAAGGCCTTGTGATAGTACACCTCGGTCTGAGGAGGAATCACAGTAAGATCTGGGAAGGACATATTAAAAAAAGAAAGAGGGAGAAATAACTTCCAAAATGCCTCACCTCGACCATAAGCATTGAGAACCATTATGG